CTTATGTGAGTCAAAGAACATAGTCCATACCAAAAGCAGCTCTGGGCACGTCAGAAAATTGGAGTGGAAAATATTTGAGCCCAACACTCAAAGGAGAGGAAAGCCCATCCCAATGACAATGGGCACAGATCACTCAGGAAAACCTGAAAAAAAGAGAATAGAATCAAGAAACTGAGGAAGCATAACTATTTGCAGCTTATGGTCAAAAGAAGGTGTTGGTGACAGTATGGCTGAAGCTGTGCCAATTTTCTAGCTGTATCACAAATCTCACTTCTTCTCTAATTGTTGTTAAAACAGGGCTAGTCACAGCCGTTTCTTTATCTTCCGAAAAATAATTTCCTTTTACTTATTTATATAAAAGGCAAAAGAAACGTCTAGTTTGTTTCCTTCGCTTTCTGATTCCTGAATTCCGTGAAATTGTTTTGTTTTTTTTAATTTCATAAGAAAATTATTATAAAAAACCATATAGCGATTATAATGTAGGTGTGTGTATGCATATATGTATGTATACACACACGAACATACGCACATGTGTTTGTGTGTTTACTTAGCTTTCTGATACCTGAAGTCCTTGAAATGATTTTTTTTAATTTTTTTATTAAAAATAGCGATTATACTGCATATGTGTGTGTGTATCTTCAGAGAGATAATAAAGGATTTAGACATACACATACACTATGATCCTGATACAATTTTTATAATTTTATAATTTTCCTCTAAAATGAAAAGGAAAGTGCCAGGAAGGCAGTTAAAATTTCTAGGAAAAATGTATTTTTCTTCCTGGGTTTCATCTGGAAAGAAAGATACTCAGGGAGCTCCATGACAGCTATAGACTGACTTGTGGGTGTGTGAACGTGTATTTATTTATTTATGGGTGTTAAGATTTCCTGCTTTCTTCCCAACCGTGAAGGAGTCGTCCCCCCCCCCCCGTCTGCTGTGTTCCAGCAAGTCCTTTTGACTTCACCCTCTAGCCCAGGGGTCACCAACTTTTCAGACCTCAGGGACCACTAAATTCATAATTTTAAGTCCTGTGGACCGCTAATATGAATTAGGGATGGGATGGGGTCCTTCAGGCACTTAACTTGGCAGCCTGTTAGGGGAGAGAAGCCCCTGGGATCAACCCTCCAATGCAGCTAGGAATCTCAAATACGTCCAAGAATGAATGTTTGTCTTGTAGCCAACCCGGCCGCTAGATTGGCCCCATGCAAATTCTGTCTTTCAAGGAGCCTGGCTGAAGTTTCGTGCACTGCTCCCTGAAGCGCCTGGACTCCCAAGCAGGGAAGGGCAGTCAAGCTAAGTGCCTGAAGGACCCCATTCCATCAGCAAGCGGGAGTAATTGTCTTGGCAGGCCGTATCCAGCCCAGGGGCCGTAGTTTGAGGATCCCTGATTTAGTGTAATATAAAAAATGGAAAAATGCAAAGATTTTTCTGCAGACTACCAAAATTTTCTCGCAGGCAACCAGTGGTCATCGGACCATCAGTTGGTGACCGCTGCTCCAACCTACAGCTCTGAAATTTACTGGTGGTCTCCTATCCAAGAGCTGACTAAGTTTGCCCTGCTCAATTTTCAAATCTAGACTATTTTTTCATTCAGAAACATATGATAGAGAAAAGGGTGACTTAGGGCCTCTCTCAGTTTTGTAGGACGAAGGCAAAGGCAAACCTCTGCCAAAATCATGCCAAGAAAACTTCAGGGTCTTGAAAATTTGTATTTGTATTTATTAGTTGGTCAAACATGTACACGTATATTTATATAAACATAGACATGAACGAAAGAAATAGATACAAATAAATGGGGAAGTGGGACAGGGACGGTAGGCACGCTTATGCACGGGCCTCTTAGGAATGGGTTGAGGTCCACCATGGTAGGCGGTGTAAGGTTGAAGCTGTGAGGGTTAGAGGATGTAACAATGGGGGCAGGTAGAGCATTCCAGCCATTGACCACTCTGTTGCTGAAGTCGTATTTTCTGCAATCGAGTTTGGAGCGGTTTACTTTGAGTTTGTATCGATTGTTTGCTCGTGTATTATTGAGGTTGAAGCTGAAGAAGTTGTTGACAGGTAGGACCAGGGGTGGGTTTCTCACCCCGTTCCAACCGGTTCGGTTGGAACGGGGCCGGCGGCGTCCTCGTGCACGCGCGTGGTGCACGCATGCGTACTAGCGTCTGCGCAACGCTCCAGCTGCTCCTGGACGATCGCGCAGGCACTGTATGCGTCCTGCGCATGTGTGGAAGCGCAAAACTAGTCAAAACCGGGTAAGGACTGCGGGCGGGTGGGCGCGCCCTTCGCCGTTCCCGGAAGTTACTTACTTCCGGGTTCGCCGACCAACCGGTTCGCAGGGACCGCCGCGAACTGGTTGAAACCCACCCCTGGGTAGGACGTTGTAGCAGTTGATTTTGTGTGCTGTGCTTAGTTCATACCACAGGTGGCGCAGTTCCAGATTGTCCAAGATCAAAATTTCAAGCCTGGTGGCATAAGGGATTCTATTGTGAGTAGAGGAGTAGAGGACTTTTCTAAAATAGCTCTGGACCTGCTCAATCGTATTAATGTCTGATATACAGTGTGGATTCCAGGCAGATGAGCTGTA